CAAAATCAAGGGAAGCAGATTCAGCTTAGACATGAAATGAGCTGCTTCAGAAGTGCTGTGTTCTGCCTCACTGGAGGCTTTGGACAAGCCAGAAAAATCATTTGCCAGAAATGCTTTAGCAAGTCCTACAATGAGCCCAATACTAGAAGATTTCCAAGGCCCCTTCCTGGTGCAGGATTTTATGTAGCTTAAACCAAGCTATTTCCTTCAAATGAAAAACAGAAATAAGTAACTAGGCTTAACAGTTAACTGCTAGATAACTTGCAGGGTACCAATGTAAGAGTTAAATTCATTTCAATAATATCAATTTTAAGGTTGTATCATTTTTCAGGAATGCTCATTTTTATCCATTCCACCACAGATGTCCAGGAAGACAACCCATCAGCATGGAGAAGTACCTGCATGGACTGTGCGGTGTCTTCCTCCAGCTTCTTAATATCTTCTTTCACTAGAACCATCTGCTCCTTCAGAAATGCTGCCTCCTGCTTCAAGGCTTCCACTTCCCGCAGAACTCTGGGCATGCTCTGGAGAGCTTGGTGGCTCGTCTCTGCAGGAAAATGACAAGCAGGAGATCAACTTCCCAGAAGACAAGAGACAGAGGCTGCATCTCTGCATTCAAACTAGCAATAAAATCCATTATTACAGATTATAAAAATATTCATAATTATTAAAATTTCACTCTCTTCTCACTTTTTTGTAAATGTTTTTCCTTTAATACAAACGTTTCATCATTCATTAATCAGTGTGTCATCTGAGTACAATTTTTTGTGTCATAATAGTTACCACCAAATTATTTATATATCTCTATTCTTATTTTAACATTACAAGCGCAACATATCTCCTGTTATAACATTTCTCTTCCTAAATTATTTAATTTTACATTTTTTGTCCATATTCATTTTCTAACCAATATAAAATAACCCCCATATATTATAAGATTCTTCCTTTCCTTTAATTGCTAGTGTTAAACTACTCATTTCTGCACATTCTAATATTTTCTTAATCACGTTTTCATCTGTAGGGATTTCTTCAGCTTTCTAATTTTGTGCCAATACAATTCTGGCCACAGTTATAACTCTCTTCTCATTTCACTATGTGTCAGAAATGAGAATAGAAATATTGCTTTTACATTTCAAATTTGTGTTCCTCATTTCAGATATCTCAACATTTCTTGTAAAAGAGCGGAGAAAACCATCTTAAAAATTAGAAGTGGGAAAATCCTTGCCAAAAGAGGAAAAATAAGCTTGGGCTGTCTTTTTTTAAAGGCAGCCTCACAAATATTTATATATTAATATAAAATTTTAAATGCATGATATCTATAATTTATAATATCTATATTAACTGCTGTACCACATAATATGCCTTGATTAAACTGTGTAATGTTGGTAGGGCAACATTGCAGATAGAAACATCTGCAGGGCAAAAATAAACTGAGCTGTATACAGCTGCCCAAAGCAGTTGCTTCTACCGCACAGACCAGGGTGGTCCTTGAAACTTCCAAAGCGAATTCCCCTCAACGACAGCAGCATCACCTTCCACCGCATTGTTGACCTCCTGGATAAAAAGCTGCAACTTCATCACCAGGGTAGCTGCGTGGGCATCTACTTTGCCAGGGGCCTCCTGCTGCACAGCCCGGAAGGCCCCATTCACCCAGGCCTTGACCTCAAAGTCATCGGCCAGGAACTTGGAGAAATCCATGGTGGCTGCTACACCTTCACCCTCGCCTGGGGCTGATCAGCAACTGTGGTACCTGATGATACACAGGAAACAGACAGGAGGCAGAAGTCATAGGTCAGCAAATGCTGTCTGCGGAACATCTTAAATTTAAAAAAAGGAATATAAGGGGGTAGCATTACTGTGCATGCCATTTGTCTGAGGACCTCTGCCCTGGATAGAGGATTGAATTAGGAGACACATTCAAAAATCAGAATCCTAGGATTCTATGAATTTGGCAAGCAACGATCATCTGTGAAGTCCTTGGTATTCTCAGAGCTTGGCTGTTCTCTTGCGGCAGTCTCATTACCCAACTAGGCAACATCATCAGTACTGATGAATGTGAAGTTTGCTCCCTGTTTATGTATTTATCCTTTTATTACTTTTATAAGTAACTCAAAGTGGTAAACTATTATCCAACACAGTTTCCTCCTATTTTCCATAATGGGTTGAGCTGAGACAGAGTGAGTGGTCCCAAATCACCCAGCCACTTTCATGCCTACGGCTGGACTAAAACCAAGCCCCCCATGATAAAAGGCAGGCAGCCTATTGTCCCCAGATGCTGGTTGTTTCAAACTATATTACATGGACTGTTATGTAAACTGAATGGGGCATTCGCTGGCTGGGGAATTCTGGGAGTTGAAATCCAGACATCTTCAAGTGGCCAAGGTTGAGAAACACTGCTCTAGATGTTATGCCTCAAAGGATTACTTACAGGATTTGAAACTGGGAGTATTCACTAAAGTGAAACTAGATACAACATTCTGGAATGTGTACAAATGAGGCAATGAAATATTTTTATTTTATTTTAATGAAGAAATCTGAATCTCTCTTAAGTGAGAAAGCCACTTCGGAGTAATGGTTAAAAGCCCAACCAGGCTAGAAATCAGGAGACCCTGAGTTCTAGTCCCATCCTAGAGACAAAGCCAGCTGGGTGGTCCTGGCCAGTGACTCACAAGGAGGCAAAGACAAAGCGCTTCCAAAAAAGCATCACAAAGAAAACCGTAAGGACCAGTCCAGGCAGCCACCAGGACCAAGGCTGATGCAACGGCACCAAAACAAACACAGTCCACATTTCAGAGATTATGGGGAGGATACAGATTACAATGGCAGACCAGAAAGAACTTGGTTTAATGTGACCTAAGGTTTATAGGATGCACTGGTTTGATGTCATGGTCAAAGCATGTGGCCAGAAACTGGGAGATGGCATGCCTTATAGTCCTGACGGGAAGCTGGCTGGGTGGCCTTGGGCCAGTCACTTCCCCTCAGCTCCAAGAAGTGGGCAACGGCAAATCACTCCCTCTAAAACCTTGCCCAAGTGACCTGCAGGGACTGATCCAAGCCAAAACTGACTTGAAGGCACCCATTTAGACAACTGATTTTTTTGCAGCGCTGATAGCACGGAATTCTGGGAATTGAAGTCCACAAGTCTTAAAGTGGCCGAGTTTAGAGACCGCAGAGAAGAGCAAGGGGTCTCCACGGGACGAGTGGAAGAGGGTCGGACTTCAATTCTCAGAATTCCCCAGCGGCTGCAGCCCCCCCGCCCCCACCTGCCACGCTCAGAAAAGGAACGAGAAAACTCAGCCCGCCGGGCCGCTGCCTGCGTCCGGGCCTTACGAGGAGGCGCATGCGGGCGTCCCTGCAGAATTGACTGCGGGGGAGACAAGCGAGGCCCCCGAAGCAAGAGGGACGCCCGCCGCCATAAGGAGATTTAGGCAAGGAAACCAGCCAAGCCCGGGAACGAGGCTAGGGCTCGGCCCCATCGCGGGGCGGGGAGTTCAGGAGCAGTCGGGCGGGGGGGGGCGCCCCTCACCTGCTGGCCCCCTCGGCGGGACGCCCCAACTCACCTGCGCGCCTGCGCGCTGGACGTCCGCGCCCCCACGGGTCCAAGGCGTTCGGCCACCATCTTAGTGACGGGCCTGCGGCTTCACGCCTCCAGGATTTCCGGGAAGTCCACTCCCTTCGCTGATTGGCTGGCGACTGACATTCGCGCCCCAGAACTGGGCAGGCCGTCCGCCAACTCCTCCGCACCGGCGAGGAGGCGGGCACTCTCCTCCTTGCCCCGCTTGTCTTGGAGAAGGCGCAGCAGTCGCAAATGCAGCCGGGGCAGTCGCTTCCCGCGCTGTGCCTGCAGGCCCAGGCGAATCCCTCCAGGCAGTTGCCCGTTTCCCCTCCGCCGCTCAACGCCCACTTGCTCCTGGGCCACTGCAGCGCCTCGCCCTGTCCGGGCACTTTCGAATGAGAAAGGCGCGCACTGGGAATCCCGCATTGCCTTGTCTCCAAGCGCAGGGAGGCGAGGGGGAGAAGGGGGCTGTGCAAGAGCTGCCAGGCCACAGAGGAGGATGCACAAACCAGAGTAGCCCGGCTGGGACTTCCCTAAATGTTTATTCCGGAATGCTGCTTCAGTCCCAGGACGAAGAGCCGGTCCCAGCAGAGGAGGTGGCTGGAGTCCTTTTGGGTCAGAGGCTCCAGCAGCACCCAGCCCAAGTTGCCAGGAAGAGACGACATGCTGCCCAGGATCGGGGAGACCCCTTCTGTCTCTGAATCGCTTTTTACCTATTCCAGGGAAAGATCCAGGCAGAAGGAACACCGGCTGCCCCTCCAGCCAGCCTCAAGGTTTGAATGCACCTTAGGCACCTGCTAGAAATAGGCCTCTTGCTTGCACCACTCGCCTTTCACTTGTTAACCGTCTGCAAATATTGTGTGAGCCAGTCTCTTCAGATCCAGGACAGCCTGGAACGGCCCTGCCTGCCCCCAAAAAAGCTTCCAAATTGCTTTAACAGAAAGACTTTAGCCTGAGTATTCCAGCAAGCTCTATTTTTATTTTTAGAAGACATAGTCCTTGCTTAGTGACCAAACCTATGACAGAACTCCCCAGAGATACTTATAACCCATTTCTAAGTTCCAATGGCTACAATCCCTATATAATCAATGGCTCATATTTACAGCTGTTTGCAGCATCGCAACTCCCATTTTCAATGTTTTTAACTAATTTACTTCTGGTTTCTGGCAAAACAAACACTTGGGTATAATAGATTCACTTGTCTACTGCATCTGCTTAATGACCATTACTAAAAAAAAAGTCATAAAATTGGGCATGATCATGTGGTGACCTTAACAAGCACCATAACTTATAACTGTAATTCCAGTCATAAAGTGAGGAATACCTGTATATAGCAGAAGCAGCTCTGCATTTGCTGAGCCGCCAAAAACTCCAGTTGTGGCCCTGGGTGGCAGGTTAGCCAGCCCCACACACTTCCTGTAGCAAGCAGAGTCATGCCACACAGTCACAATGTGAAAGTCTTTTATTGATTAAAAGTCAAGAGTTCGGGACCCAATCTCACCTTGCACAGGTGAGGAAAGAAGGAGGAAACACTTCAGGCAGTTCAGTTGCAGAAAGAAATTTTTGGTGGCAAGGACCTCACCAGCTGGAAGCTCCCTGCCCCTAGAAAACACAGAGATCAGGGAGAAGGAAGGATCCAGTCTGGTAAGTCAAATGTTCTTGGCAAAGGCAAGCCTAAAGTGCTGAGTTTGGATTTTCATCTGGATTAGGAAAATTTAGGCTTAACTAAAGTAAGAGGGTTGATTCTAATTTCCTAACTCCCATATCATTTTTCAGATCTTGATCCTTTTCCCCAGAGCTACAAAATGAGGAATGCCGCATCGGATGTTAGGACTCACTCATATCTAATTTCAACAGGTCCTTAGATCCAGCTAATATTTTTCCCTTTTCTATTAAATTTGAACCCAGCATTCATCAACATCAGACTATGCTGCTATAAAACCAGAGAATGTTCTCTGTGTGTTGCCCCCAAGCATGGGAGGTATTTTCCCAAGCTCCACCATGCTCCGAAGTCCTTCCTTTGCCCCTTTCCCTCATGGAGCAGGTTGGCTGCATAGAACCCCCTGGATGCGAACGCTGGTCTCCTTGGGCCCCAACAGGATCATCATCTCAGCAACACTGGGCCCGTCCTGAAATGGAAGTGGTGGTTAACACATAGGGCAGGGCAGGGCAGGGCAGGGCAGGGCAAGGCAGTTCTCCTCAGCCAAACTCAGAACAGGGGAGACTTGCCTGCAGGCCACTAAGGGAGAAGCGGAGGAGCTTCATCATGCTGCTGTACTTGGTGCCACTTATCTGCTTGTGCAGCTGCCTCAGTTGCTGGCCAAGTTCTTCAGGTCTCTGAGTCACTGGCCCTTCCAGCAGCCTTCAGGAGGAGGAGGAGGAGACGACACAGTCAAACCAGAGCAGGCTGAGGACTGAACCAGAAGAGAAGCTGGCCCAGCTGGTCAGCCACATTCCTGAGAACCTGACCTTTCAATGGAGAGGACCTCCATGGGGCTCTTTTCAGAAAGCCTTGGATCAATAGCAGAAATGCTTGCTGATGGATCCCATCTGACGCTTTGAATGACTAAATCTGAATCTGGCATCTGCAGCATCTGGAGACCATTTGCATGGCACAAACTCAAGCTGCTTGCTTATCTGCCACTTTTCTGGCAGTTAGTGAAACTTTCATTCCATGACAATAATCACCAGAGAGATGTCATCACAACAGTCTGAATTTCTTTCACATGATGTTTGTATTCAAATGGGAGAACCAATAAAATTTACCCAGCAGGGAAAATGCTCATTTTCACATGGGGATGTTTATGAAAAAGGCAAGTAGGAATTTCTCCCCCCAAACAGACAAGATTCCCCACCAAGACAAGTAGCCAGTTTACCTGAGGACCCCCCTTCCTATCTGGTCTGCCTCAGTGGAGAGAGTCTGCAGCTTCTCCGAAGACACAGAGGGGCGGATCCACAAGAAAGCATAGCTGGGGGACACCAAGTCCTTCAGGCGGCTAATGTGGCCCTAAGGAAGGAGGAGTTCTGAGAAGCAGAGCCCAGGAGGGGGGGGAGAGCCCCTGCCACCTTCTCCCCGCCATATGCTGTTCCCCTGGGCAGTGTCCTTCAGCTGGTGCTCAGCTCAACTTGCCACAGAAAGCTAATCCTGACAGCACGCAAGCATCACAGCCTGCCCGACTTGCTAGTCAGGGAAGGAATTAAAAAGCCATTTTATCCGAACAGCCCTTAGCTCAGTACAGGATCAGCATGCAGCCTCCCTCCCTCCACCCCAGACTTCACATCTATGGGACCACTGCAGGCACCCAGAGACTCCTCTGAGAACAAACTGCTTCTGACTTACCCTTCTCAGCAAGAGCACCTGCTCAATGTAGCCCTTTTCAAGGACCTCCCTCTCCGGAAGCTGCTTGCCATAGACTTCCTCCACAGCGGCCCGGACCTCTGGCACAAGCTTCTGCCGTAGCCTCTCGTCTCCAATCTGCTGGGCCAGGTGAACCCTAAGCAAAAGAACATACTGAATGCAGGCAAAGGCATCATGGGCCTCTTCGCGGAATGAAGCGACAACAACCATTCACATGAACACATGCCACTAACATGGCCCACCACTCCAAACATCCACCCCAGCACAGCCCTCTTGTAATGCAGAGCCCATCCATCGGTTCTTGTCCTGCCTTCGGGTACTTTGGAGATTAGGGAGATCCCCTCTTTTTGTAAGCTGCCCCTCAAACTGCCCAATTTGGCCAAGTCATTTTCTGGATATGCTGACATCTTGGGAAGGTTTGGGGAAAGAAACTGTGATTTCCCCATTACCTCTAGTCAACTTCAAGCAGGAGGGGAAACAAATCACAATGGGAGCAGAAAATACTGAAGAGGGAGCTAGAGGGCAACAGATGCCTGCCTGCCCCTTCATTTTCTCTACCTGTTGAATTCTGGCAGTTTCTTCAAATCCAGGAGGGCCGAGTGCCTTTCGATCCTGCTCAGATCAAACTCATCAATCAGCTCCTTTAGTGTTCGTCCTATTCTATTTTCTGCAAAACAGATCAAGCTGCTGGGCTTCTCCTCATACATATCTGATTTCTATAATCCCCCCTTGTGGCCTTTGTGGGACTGATGGTCAGCAGGTAGACTCCCAGATGGAGCCAGGTAACCACTTATGAGGAGCGGCAGTAGCTGAGAAGGGGCCAAGGGCAGGCAAGGAAGGGAGATACAAAGTGCTTGCGGAGTGAATGGGATAATATACCAGCTCTTGTGACAGTCCGTGCCACAGTTAAAAAGGAAGACACAAATGGTTCTGAAAATACAGACGTTCACCTTCCTTCCCCTGTGTGAGGCGACTACATTACCTGCAAACCCTGAGCCAGAGTGTGTCATGAGATCCAGGAGGGTGGCTGGCAAATAGCCATCTTGCGCAAACTCCTCCACAAAAACATGCCCTTGTCTCTTGGAGAGTTTGCTGCCATCTTCGTTCAGGAGCAGTGGAAGGTGCCCAAAATGAGGCGGCTCCCAGCCAAAGGCCCTGTAGAGGAGGAGGTGTTTGGAAGTGGAGGTGAGCCATTCAACTCCACGCAGAACGTGGCTGATCTCCATTAGGTGATCGTCCACCACATTGGCCAGGTGATAGGTTGGAAAGCCATCGCTCTTCAGAATCACTGGATCGCCTTCCACACTGGCTACTTCGTGCCTGCTCCACCCATGGATTAGATCGCAAAAAGGGTCCGTCTGCTCTTCCAGGCGAAAACGCACCACATAGTCAACGCCTTGAGATATCTTCTCAGCAACCTCCTTGGGGTTTAGGTGACGACACCTGTTGTCATACCTATAGAGGGGGAAAAACTAGAGGGTATCAACTCTGCAAAACTAAAGTTACTCCTGTTTGTTTAAGTTAGCCTCCTCTTCCAACCACAGGTAAAAAGGGGGTCCCTGCAGATTTTACTCCGCTAGTCATTGCCAACTTTAGGGGACAGTGTTCATCTCTGTTTCACCAACCACAGGAGAAAGCAAGAATTTAAGAATTTGATGCTGAAGTTTAGACTCACTACATCAACAGTTCTCACCGTGGAGTTTGCTGACTGCGCAGTGCTTCTTTCTTTAATAATTCCAGGCGCTGGGGAGTGCAGAAACAGCAGTAGGCAGCCCCTTTCTCAAGAAGCAGGTCTGTGTATTTCTTATATAGGTCACATCGTAGGGATTGTTGGTAAGGGGCAGTAGGGCCTCCCCGGCGAGGGCTCTCATCCGGTGGCAGGCCTGCAGGCAGGCAACAACTATGACCAAGACAAAGTGACGACCGAAACCACAATCCAGCTCAATCCATGTGCCTCTTCACCCTCAATGTAAGCTACAGAAGTGCTGCAGTTGGAGGCACAGCCACTGGTATGCTAAAAGTTCCCACATTTCATTCTCAGGAGGCTGAGGGGCTAAAGGTTGATCACACTCCTAAGGTCTCTTTACGCAAAGAATTACAGAGACCCTGGAAGAAGCAGCCACAAGACTTCAAGGAAGGCTACAAGCATCCCGCAGGAATTTTCCCAACACAGGCTGATCAGGAGCAGGAAGGACAGCTCTCTGTACTCCAGAGATCACTGCATAGTGTTCAAATATGCACCAATAGGCTTTAGGAAGCTGCAGAGTTCCTATTGCTGATATGGGGGGGTTAAACCTCCAATAGGACTAGAAACGGGGGCTGGAGGGACCATTACTGCAGGGAGGTTACTGAGCCAAGAACAGAATCCACATTCTCTACACTGGCAGAACCTCTACCTCTAATATCTGCAAAGTAGATCTGGATCAGGGACAGCCCCTTTGCAGCCACGTGTAACCCCTTCCCACCAACATTTCTCAAGCCCCTAGAGATGAAGGCGGGCAACACACTGGCAGAAAAATATTGCCAAAATGATAGCGAAAGACAAGGCTTTTAAAAGGGACCAAAATAAATAAATCCCCACCCCAGGCACACCTGATCCCTTTCAACAGGCTCTGGCCCTTACCTGCCCACTCCAATGCATCTTCTATGCTTTGAGAGGCTGCCAATACCACACGGCTTTGATCGGTGTCTTCCAGTCGAAGGATAAAACTGCCTCGGTGTTTTCGGGCAAAAATATAGTTGTACAGAGCAGTCCGGAGCCCCCCCAAATGTAGAAACCCTGTTCATAGTAGACAGAGAGCTCAGAGGAAATGGGCAGATCAGCACAATGACCCCTGTGAGGGGAAGCTGAGCAGGCAGAGTGTGGGTGAGAGAAAGCACAGCTCAGATTCCAAGGAAAGCACCCTCTTTCTGAAATCCCAGGGGAAGCACCTTGGCCCTGGGGTCTGAAAGGAACCTGCACTGAGGGAGGCCAAGCCCCTCCACCCTTATGCACGGATTATGCATCCTGGGGGCTGGGGAAGGTTTTTTAAAGGGAGGGAATGAGGCTCTCTTGGGAGCTTTTGGGAAAAGGAGGGAAGAGAATAACTGGCCCAGGTGCACAGCCTCCAATTATAAGGGGCAGGTGGGAGAGGTCCAGCGGCCTGGGCTGCTCTGTCCCTTTAAGAGCACCTCAGTCAGCCCAGGGGCTATAAAAGCTGGCGGAGGAGGAGGAGAAGCAGCAGCGGGTGGGTGCACTTGTGTACCTGAAAGAGCATGAAGGGGCCGAAGGTAAAACGGAAGGGTTCCTGCCCTACAAAAGTGGGGCTTCCGGAGGAAGCTGGTGGGGACGACAGGAGTTGCAGGAGGAGGCCTGGGGAAGAGGGGGACGCTCAACAGTGAGTGACAGCCTTGGGAGACCGGGGGGGGGCTGCCTCCGCCGGGTGTGGGAGCTCCAGGGGAAAGAGCCCCGGCGGGGGGAGCGGAGTCCAGGGAGGCGATAAGCGAGCTGCTCTTTGAGGGGGGAGGCCAGGACGGAGAACTCGGGAGAAAATGGGGCCTCCAGGGCAACGGAGCCCTCTTGCAAAACACACACGACCCCTTCTCCCAGGGAGGCCCTCCCTGCGTGCAGCCTGAGACCGCCCCCCAAAGGAAGGGCCCACCGTAGGCCACGCCCAGAGCCCCCTCTTCCTCCCGGGAGACTCACCGGTGGGGCTGGGCGCAAACCTCACCCGGACGGCACGCGCCGCCCCGCCCGCCGCCATCAGTGGAAGCCCCGCCCCCAAGCGGGCCCTAGCCTATCGGCGGCGACGAAGGAAGGGCGAACTGCCCCGGGTTGCTTCCTCCACGCTTCCGCTCTCCCCTCCCCCGCGCCCAGTCAGTGGAACTCGCGGCCTCCCCAAGCGCAGGAGCGGGAATTCCCCGAGGCGGACTCCGACCAGGGCGGCGCGGCGGACCAAGACGCGGGACGCCCCGAAAGTCTTGCGTGCCCCTGCTCCCCAGGCGGCTGGCAGCGTGAGACTCCGCCCCCGCAGCCGGTGGGCGGGATCCTCCGCCGGGGCCCGCCCCTCGGCCGGAAGGCGCGTCCACGGTGGCCGCCGAGGGCCAATCGCGGCGCCCTTCCCGACTCACCCCGCGGCCGGGCTGTACACAATCATCATGGCTGCCACCTCCGCCTCCCCCGGTGCGCGTGAGAGAGAGAAGTGGGGGGGAGAGAGAGAAAGACAAGGAGAGCCGCTGCTTTGTCCCGGCGGCGCGCGAGGCGGGGGTCCGGGGCAGATGGGGGCTGCGGTCATGGCGCCTCGGCGGAGGCCGCCCGTCCCCGTGCCCGGCTGCGCCGTCGAGGGGAACCTCCGGCCTGCAGGGGCTTTGGGGGGGGGCGGGCCGGGGTGGGCCGCGCAGGGAGCCCCGGGAGGAGCCCTTGGGGCGCGGGCGAGGCCGGGGATCGCAGGTGCCGCCTGGCTCGCGGTTCTATCGCCGTTTGTCTTGCCTTTTCGCAGACTCGGAGGAAGCCTGCATGGACGCGGAAGTGCGGAACCCGCCCGTGGGCTGCCGAGGCGAAGAGGAGAACGGCTCGCTGGCTGCCGCGAAGGCCTCGGAGGCCGACGAGCCCGACAGCGAGACCCCCGACCTGGAGGCTTCGGTGAGCAACGGGGGCGAAGCCGAGATGGAAAAGGAGCTCGTGGAGCTGAAGATTATCTGGAACAAGAACAAGTACGACCTCAAGTTCCCCCTGGACAGCACAGGAGCAGACCTGAAGCTGAAGATCCACTCGCTGACAGGTGAGACGCGGCCTCTTGTCCCCTGGAGAAGTAGCTCGGCCTGAGACCCGGGGTTAAGCCTCCCTCTTGGTTTCCCCTCTGGTAGGCCTCCCACCCGCCATGCAAAAGGTCATGTTTAAAGGACTGCTCCCAGAGGAAAAAACCTTGCGAGAAATTAAAGTCATCAGTGGAGCCAAAATCATGGTGGTGGGCTCGACCATCAATGACGTCTTGGCAGTCAACACACCAAAAGATGCAGCTCAGCAGGAAGTGAAGTCCGAAGAAGCCAAGAAGGAGCCCCTCTGCAGACAAAAGGTCAGTCGGAGCCAGCAGCTGGGATGGATGGGTTTGAACCGGCTTTTAACTTCCCAGAAAAGGTAAACTCTTTTGAACTGTGGATCTGTTGGAAGAAGAACGCTTTATATTTTGTTACACTAAAGCTTTTGCTTTGATGTTGTTTTTCATTAACGCTCCAATTTTAAGATGGGTGGAAGCAATCCTAACAGCCAATTCATTTCCTGCCAGCATTTTCCTGGACACGGCACTCTAACTTTAACTTGTAAAGAATCCCCAGATTGGCAAATCTAATTCAGTAATGCTTTTTGGTCACCAAATGTGCTGCTTCTTATTTAATTGCCCAGTTGGCATGAGATGTTTTCAGTCAGTAGTTCTGACATTTAGTAGACTCTGAACTGGGGATATTTTGAGGGGGATAGCTCATGCTTTTATGCCTCATCCTTTATAGGTAGATGGTGCTGGGTGATTCGTTCACCATATTCCAAAAGGGTAGGGCAACAATTCTTTTCTGAAATTCTGCCAGTTAATGTTGCCAGCGATGAGCAAAACAGCCTGTTTCCCAGATAAAGCATTTTCTTGTAATCCTATCTTTTCCCCCTTGCTGTTATTTTTTGCCATCTCACTGACTTGTTTACAGGTGATATACAAGGTTTCATTTTTTTAACTATTAAGCAATTGAGCACACGCAGGCAGATTATTTTAAACTTTCCAAAGCCTTTGGTTGGTTCACCAGAAGTTATTTATAGCTGCTCTACTTACTTTTGTTGGCTCCTGTTATTGCCTTGGATTTTTGTCAGTGCTGACACTGCTAATATTTCCCATGATTTATCACCTCTTGGTATTACCACCTTCCCACTTGCTGTTCTTGTCACTGAGTTTAGCCGTTCTTACCGCCACCATTCAATGGCTGGTTTTAGTTTCTTTCGGCAAATCCAACCACCTTGATCCTACAATGATAGAACTCTGTAGCTGCAGTAAACCAGAGTGCATTTAGACGGATGTTCCAGATGTTTTGATCTCCATTCAGAGATTCTGCGAGCACCTGCATCAAGATTGTTGTGCAGTGCAACAAGTTACAAAATTTTGAGAATGGAGGTTACAGCTTGGCTTGCAGTCTCCAGCTCTGTGAGCACATAGTGAGGTATGCATTGGCCAAAGTAAGAACTCATTCCTTCCACTCATCCTTCGATTTTAAAAGTTACCTGTCCCATCTAGATTTTTTGTGTAACTTCAGCCAGATTGTTTGTTGGGAAAATGTGAATTCTACTCCCTAAAGAAGAAATGCTGATACAATAAGAACACTTTGGTGTCTTTTAATTAGCATCTGTTTGCAGCTTATTATTTGTAGGGTGCTATTTTCTGAGTGAAGGTTGTGCATCTCAAGACTTTTTAGATTTCTCATTAATATGCTGGCAAGTAAGCAAAGCAGAAATCTGGCAAGACTTCTGTCGTTCTTTGGTTAATTTATATTTCTGCTTTACAGCAACATAGGAAAGTCTTGGATAAAGGGAAGCCTGAAGATGTCATGCCTTCTGTCAAGGGCGTCCAGGTAAGAAACAAGAGTTGAAGGTCCAGAGATTGTTCTTATTGATAGACGCTGTAAAGAAAATATTGTGTTTTTCCTTGTACTGTAAGTTGCTTTGTTCATAGACAACTTGTGTCTCAACCTCTCTAGGAGCGTCTGCCAACTGTTCCTTTATCGGGAATGTACAACAAGTCAGGTGGAAAAGTACGGCTAACCTTTAAACTTGAACAAGATCAGCTCTGGATTGGCACTAAAGGTGCGTGCCCAAGTTGTGTGATTGTTCAAATCTGAAAGTTTAGCTTTGTGTGATAACAGTACTTTGTGATTTCTGGGTTATTGTGTCTGAGCTGGTGAGATTAACTAAATCTTATTCACCTGTGAATTAAGCCAATATAAGTTGCTCCATTTTGATTTGTGAGCAATGCCTGAAGGTTAAAGAGCCAAAACATTTATGACAGGAGGATCTTTAGCTGCCCTTCAACTGGATGTTTTTAGTGCAAAAGTTTCCAGTTCTGAAAAACAGGAGAGCAGCCTTAAGACAGGATGGAGCTCTCTGACCCTGCTGTGTGCCACTTGAACCGGTAGCATCAGTCGGTTGAAATGCAAGGGAAAGGCTTGGCAAGCTAAACAAGATGTTATTGTGAAGCTTCTTCCACAAAATATGGAATTTATGGGGCAGTTTTTCACTCTTGATATTTCACTGTAAACAACATACAGAAGAGTCCAGAAGTATTGTTTTACTTATATTTTTTAAACTTTTTGGTGCTGTTAAGCATTACTGCTCTTGCTGATCGTTTTTTAAGAGCAAATACTGTTAATTTTAAATGCTTCTGAAATAATTATGCAAGCTTAATTCTGGTCTGGTAGCATATATTCTACAATACAGGTAGTCCTCAACAAGACCACAATTAAATTAGAAAAGGGTTTTTTAAAGGATTTGAATCAATTGGTTTCGAAATTTGTTTGGCAGGGAAGAAAAACTCAAAACTATGCAAAACACTAAGGAAAAAGGAGGATTTGGCATACCAGATTGGGAACTTTATTATACTGTGGCCACCCTAACATGGTTAAAAGAATGGATAATGTTGAGAAATAAAAGATTGCTCAAATTGGAAGGTCATGACCTCCAAGCAGGATGGCATGCCTTCCTTTGGTATGAAAAAGGATCTGCTCACAAATATTTCAATAAGACACTACATCAGACAGTCCCTGTTAATATGGAACAAAATTAAACACGACCACTATACCAAAGCACCCATTTGGCTATCTACAATGGAAGCATACATACACCCAAAT